GTTTTAAAAATTTCTTTTCAATATTAGTTTAGTGGTTACTGTAGGCAAGCTAGCATTTAACTCGTTGTACTAATACACATGAAAGATGTTGTTTCTTTCACAATATATATTTATCATTATACAAATAAATAAATATATGATGTTTACCTAAAAAAAAAAAAAAAAAAAATTTACTTTTCTTTTATAATCATTGTTGATTTGAGTTGTCTGTAATAACTATAAGTTGTCTTCTTATGCCAGGACACTGGAACCTGGGCTGGATTCTATTCCTCGAATTTTTTTTTTATTATTTTAAAGACAAGACAATGTATTAGTATTGTTATATTTTCCTTATTATTGTTATTGTAAATAGGGGCTTCTACAATCTTTTCTAAATAATGTAAGACTATTTTCCTTTCATCATAATAAATACATGCTCTGACCTTCTAGAACCAGTCATTACCTAAAAATAAGGTTTCGTCTCTAAAATAGATCACTTGGAAAGTGCATGGGATGTCAATACCTCGAACCAAAACCTTTACATTGGTGACATTCCTTAATGTTTTTGAATGTGTTCCTGTAATGGTATTGCAGTTGTTGACTTCTCATTTATTTTTAAGTTCAATTAATCTATCAATCTTTTCGTGATAAAGCTTACAACTGCATCAGTATCAATCACAACTGCTATGGTTTGATCACAGATTTTGATGCGGCATCACATGATAGTTGTTCTTTTATTATTGATACTTGCAAACATCATTTCCTTATAAATTGTAGGTTTATGCAAGCTTTTGAAAGGTTCTTCTTTTGTTCTGTGTATTGTAACATTTGCCCGAGTGTGACGTTTGCTGAAGTTGTGAATAAGTCATCGACAATGTTATATGATGGTTCCGATTTGATTCTTGAGGGTCCCTTTTTCTTTCATGTAGTCTTCTTTTGTGCTTTGAGTGGTTCTTTCATTATTTCCTGTAGGTCTCCCTCCATGATTTCTTTGCTTGCAGATTCTTATATCTCCATAGATTGTTCATCATTATTCCTTTAGTTCCTTAAAAGACCTTTTTACTTCAACTTGGTCCTGAGTTATCATTAGTATGGTTATACAGTCAATATCTTTTAGTTGTATGGTATATCTCATCCTCTTGTTTCACCATTTCCACAAAATATGTCTTGGTTTCTAATTCTGTCATTTGTATAGATAGGTCATTCCACAAGTTTGTTCCTTCTGCCACACAATTTCAAGCATAATGATCTTTTTTTTCACACTTAAAGCAAGTTACGTTATGGATATCTACTCTGTTTCTCATTCTAGGTCCAGCTTGGAATGTCATCATTGTGATAAGCTTAGTATAATTAGCTGCCAGCTCTTGCATCTGTTTAATTAATTCTGTGATAGTTCCTTCTAGAAAAGTGGTTTTTGTTTCCTTTTTTGTTGTCATTCTATAGTATTTTCTGGCTTCAATCCTTTTTGCACCAGTAATCGCTTCTTCCAGATTTCTGGGGTCAACTACTGATAGGAGCGAGGCTGTTTTTTCTTTCAATTCTCTAGTGAACATTTACATTACGTATGTTTGCAGTATTTTGTTTTCAGGGTCTACTTTTTTTAACAATTTTCTAAATTTGTAGGCATAGGTATCTATTTGTTCTCTGTCTCGTTGGCACAAGGTATTTAGTTCCACTTGCCATTGGTGTTTTTGTTCTGAGGTGACGAAGTATTGAAGAAATGAAGATACAAAGTTTCTGTCGGGGTTTCTATTGTTGTTCCATTGTGTAATAACATTTCTTCGATCATGGTATTAATCCACAACTATTCCTGCTAGGTAACTTGAAGCGATACTAATTTTCCATCAATTATTTAAGTTATTGGTATTGGCGGCTTGCCCAAATGCTTCCAGCCACTTGAATGGATCCTCGTCATCTTTACTGTAAAAGGTTTTCACTTTAACTAAATTGCTTTCTCTTTCTTTATCTTCAGGTGCATTTTTATCTCTGGCTTTTCAAAATGCGTTCGCAATCTCTCGCAGGATACCATTTATTTGGTTCGAGTTCATCCATACGTCTTCTTTGTCTATGAGTGTTCCGATATCACTTTCTTGGTCATTATATTGCTCATTCATAATGTAATTTATTTTTTATCTAATTGTTCAAGTCAAATTTCAAACGGTTTTCTCTCGTTCTATCTTAGACAGATCAAAAATGCGAAATGAATAAATAAATTAATAAAACGAACAAAAATAAAAAAAATCGAGGGGGGAGATACTGGAGCATTCAATTTCACAAGCACCACCAAAAATGTAACAGGCAAATGATGAGTCTATCACTAATGCTGACAGAGATTCGCAAAGCTATTACTAATAGTTTATGATAGATAAAATGGTGATTTCAAATGTACGATTTGGCCAAATTCTTCTCACTGTTCAGGCACACTTTTATTAACAACATTTTCTTATTTATTTATACATTTTCTCGTCATCGCATAAAATAGATTAAGCTAAATATACTAGTTATAAAATGATGATTTTAAATACTATTACATAATAATAAGTAATTTTACACTGTCATTGTCATTGCTCACAGTCATTATATTGACTAGTTATGACAGGATTGGATCTCGTGTCATTCAACATAGATCGATCACGTATTGGCATAGTATCATTGTTTGTTGTAAGATGCGTATGATCCTCTATCATCATCGCTCACTTTCATTATATTAATTACATGTCTATGGTTCTATTATCGTGACACTTGCTAACATTGGACAAATATTTTATTATTGGTTATTTTATTTTACCCCTTACAATATTAACAAGCAAATAATCAAAAAGTTCATAAACGCATCATCAGATATGATTGAGAAACTAGCAAAAATCAAATACAAGATTGGAAATCTCAAAACAATTATAGTATACACTGATAGATCCTTAAGCAAAGAAAAAAAATGAGTTTCGGGTGGTATATTCCACAAATACCAAAAATCAACTTTTAAGGAAGAATCAAAAAATTTTCATCATCCATCAGAACAGAACTAGTTGCAATAGTCTTATTTCTTACAACAACACCAGTAGGAAGCAAGGTGACAATATACAGTGACAGTTAGGTAGTACTAAATACTATTGAAAAAACACAAAAGAACCAAAAAAAAATAAGAACACTCAAAAACAGCAATATAATCAACTTCATAATACACATAATTAACTTACAACATATTGTTGTCCTCAATGGTGAGTCTGTTGCTACTCTGGGTCAAGACTCGTATCACATTGGGGGAAGGGTCTATGTTGCTGGCGATACCAAAGGTACATGTGGTGATAATTATTCTAATCTTCCTCTAGATTTAATTAGTCTTCTCTTCTGATCTCTCCCTTGTCAAGCTATAGGGTAGTGGATCCTTTTTAGAACAACTAAACGACAAATAAGATAAGTTTATTAATTATTGTTGCACTGGTACAAGCAATTGGGTTTCGCAAAGTCAGTATTTTATTAATTTTCTTGTCTCTCTTTCTATTCTAGGTACATTGGTTATTTATACTATCGCGACGCATCTTTCTAATCTATCATCGCGTTATGCAAAATTACTAAACTTCTACAAACTTGGCACCTATCAATCCTGTATAATTGATACATGATCAATGCCCCATGCGGCATCGCGCCGGGCGCCATTTGTCGCATCATGCTCCTTATTACAATTTTTATACTAACAATATTTAATACACTGGAAAAAAAATCAAAGCCCATAATCAAGATCCATATAATGACAAAGCAGATCAACTGGCCAAAGAAGCAGCAGAGTCAAATGTCAACTTTATTATAAACTTACAGTCCATGTATATGACAAACAAAAGTGGATCCAAGAATGGAACAGATGCATCCTGGAGAACACAATAACACAAACATACCAGAACCAAATACATTTTTAGTTAGAGAATGCTCAATCGCAACCTAACAACAATTACATATAAATATACTCTTGAAAATATAAACTGGTTGGCATCCATGAAATACAAATACCTATCCAAAATCACAATAGGGATAACAAACCTAGAAAACCACAATACCAGATCCTTTAAACTTAAATTATGGAATCTGAAGCTCCTAACAAAAGACAAACTACACCAAAGATTCAATACAACATATACTGACAACAAATGCATCATGTGTACCCAAAACACAGAATCAAATACATACTGTATAACTTGCATATACAACAGAAATGACATTATCAATATACCTAACCAAATTATAAATAAAGAAGTTGGCAGCTAAACATAAGAGAACTAGGACACAAGCTCTCCAAAGAAATAAAAGAACACCAAGAGTCATGGACCCAAGAAATTAAAAACTGTGTCACAAGGGGAGCATTCACATCAAAACAAATACACATAATCAAAAACACACAGATAAAGACAAATATATAGAAACAATAAGGCAAATAATATACAGATTCTTAACAGAACTGCATTTCAAATAGAAAAATAAATGCAAACACTTTGTCAAATGGGAAATTATAAATAACATCACAAGAGAAGGCAAGAAAAAATAAATTATAAACAGGAAAAAATTAAATCAAAATAAAACTTTCATATCAGGACTTTACAAAATAATCAACCAAGCCAGCTATAACTGAATTAACTGGAACACAATATACTTATTTAACACTATTTTTATTTGGGACAAGTAGAGTCTTGACAAATTAGCTAAATTTATGCCAGTATTTAGCAATAAGTTGCATGGTAGAAAAGATTTTTAATGAACTTTATTTAGAAAAAATAAGTGGGGAATTTGTATAAAAAATAGATTTGTATATACTCAATCAATCAAAACTTAATAAAGCAAGGTATACGCCACCCAGTTAAAAAAAAAAAATTCTTTAGCAAAATATAAGATAAGTTAAATTTATTTTTTTATAGTAAAAATAAACAGTTATAACAATTCTTATTTCAAATATTGTTTTAATATTATTATTGTAATAGAATAAAAAAATTTTTTTAATAATTTTTTTATATTTTTGAAGGAGTTTTCTTCAGTAGATAAATATTATCTCTTTATTCATTATTGTATATTGAATGTATACATTAAAAAAGAAACAATGTCTCTTAGATGTATTGCATATAACAAGTTAAATACTAGCTTGCCTACTTGATTACTATTTAACTAATATTGTAAAAAATTTCAAAAACAATATTAAAATGTCAGATAGCAAAGTAGTAGCTATGCCTACCTACTCAACAAAATTTTGCAAAATATTTTAATTTTTGAATATAAAATAAATAAATATAACTAAAACTAAAACTAGGTTGAATGGACTATAGAATCTATAAGTAAAAATCTAATTATTTTCTCAGGAAAGCTTCCAAACAGACATATGGTCTATATATGTAATATAAATTATTTGCTGTTGACTTAATTCCTAAAATCCTCAAAAATAATTATGTTATAACTCAATTATTTATATGTTTTAATAGTGACTTAATTAATTATATCAAATAATTGCATCAATTGTATCAAGAATTTATGAATTTTCACAACAATATAGTGTGGTCCCATCTTTCCAGCTCTTTGGTTACCATAAATAATAGAGTGCATGTTTATTGCTTGTTGTTGTAGTTGTTATTATAATACAAAACTAGTTTGAATACTTATAGGATATTGATTATCTAAAGAAATAAACTGATTTTAGTTTTTTGACCAGATGAAAATATAAAAATTGTAGTGGCACAGCAAGTATCGTCAGGATATTATAATTGAAAGTTGACTTGAAACAAACAGTAGATCTATTAACTCTATTTAAGTATGTGTTATAAATAGTATTTGATCTAGCAAGTATAATAGTAATAGTATATATAGTTTTTATAATAAAGTAAGGTAAAGAGGATACAAAAGAACAGAAGAATAAAAAACTGCCATAAGCCTTTTCTTATACAACCAAAGAATAAGCAAGACTTTCAAACTTGAATAAACTTTGATTAAAAGTTCTATTCCACTACACCAGTTGTCTTGAAGGTTCTTAAGTTCTTGAGTTAAGGCTTGCTTAAAATTACTAAAAAAGAAAATTTTTTAACAAAACAAATATATTTAGGAGAGTTTTTGCTAAGATTTTTGAATTTTTTAATTTTAAATAATTTAATTTTTAAATTTTTAAATAATATATATAAATATATCATATTATATTATTATTGTAACAATCTTGATCTGTGGATCTATAGTGTAGTGGTTAACACTTCACAGGTTAAATTATAAGATACTAGTTTAACTCCAGATAAAAGCGATTGAATTGAATTAAAAATAGTATTTAGGGCCATAATCTACTAAGCCCTGTTTCCCATAGAAAGTCATTCATACGCTGATCCAGTGAGATATTAGGATTGTAATCTTCAAGAAAGGTGCAAGATGGGATGATCGTCCGGAAGCAGTATGATGCTCATCTGACAGAAGCCTGAACCAACCACACATTTGGATGCATAGACTGGACTGTACTCTATCTTAACCAACCCGAGCGATATTTCTCATTCTACTTACTTCTGAATAAGACAACTTTGAAGAAGCATACTGAACCAACCCTAACGTCTTGTGCGACATGGACTCCTGACAGCTTACTGTGTTTGTAGAAATTGTGCTCTGCTTGACATTCGTGTCCCTAGATTTGATAGCTTATGTCAACTGGCTCCTTTGAATATATCTACTAGAAGACAGGAACCTTGGGAGCGGGATGATCAAAAGCTATCCGTATGGCCTGTATGGTCCCTGTGGATTCGTGCCCCAATTGGTCAAAAAGGACCCCTAGGTTTGGTAGCTGATAGCCAACCAAAGGATAAAAAAGGTTCAGAGCATTCACTAGAGAGTACAGATCAATGTGAAGGCTCCTCTGCCACATTAGCTATATGAGCGAAAAGATGTGTAGTGATGAGTTACTTATAAAGAATAGTAAGTAGTATTCCATTGTTCCCGCACAAAAATTGAACCAGTAGGTTAGGTGGTTTAAACTAGTGGTAGAAATTTCCCTCCTAGATAGATCTCCCAAAAATGTAAAAAAATACTTCAAGAGTATCAGATTGGCATTAACGGGCAATAGATAGTTGATAGGCTAGCATTAAGCTATAGTATATCAATAAAGGACTTA